AATTGTTCCGGTGCTCGATTCTTCTTCTTCTTCTTCTTCTTCTTCTTCTTCTTCTTCTTCTTCTTCTTCTTCTTCTTCTTCTTCTTCTTCTTCAAATAAATCACCATACTTGCTTGCACCATGCTGTGACGCACACCGTGGACATTGTCGATCAGGACGTTTGAAGTACCATGAATCAGCTGGTCACCCTTCTGTCCAAAATGTGATATTTTTTAGCACTGTTCTAACCTGATTTGCTTGTTATTATTGTTTGAGTTCTGAGCGCCAACGTGTGCAGACCTTCGCGAGTTGCCAGCGCCGGTGTCGTACTAATAGTTGACTCGGGAAAGGGTCTAGTGAAGGAGATTGACCTGCCGGACGACATGAATGGTGATTCGAGATTCTGACCGTTCTTACGGGCTGCCGCTCGACAACCGAGATAATGAGCAGGAATGCCGAATACGCGTGGTCTCCTCTCGGCTTGTCCTTATTTCCTGACACTTAGGCCCTCGTGATCACGCGTCCCTGACATGGGCCAACCAATCACAGGTCCAACACTCAGCCAATTGCTTTCTAGTGTTGACGTAGGCACTGTATAACCGAGGGAACAAAACAGCATTTCTCATGCGCACTCAAACGGACGCTTTGATTTGAGTCGCAAACAAATCGCCAACTCACGGCAATCGTTCGCGCATACCGAATAAAGTGGCTTTCACCACTCTCTGACGTCGGTCATTAATCGCGGTTAACATGTCCTCGTTTCTGTGAGTCACTGTATCTGGGGAATACAGCTTTCGTCCTTAAAATAACCATTCATATCCTAAAAAGACATAGAATCAATTTTCACAGCAATAATTTACGGAAGTGCAATGTCATCGGTATCTTTGAGCTAGGACCATTGATTTGAAACTGATGAGTAAATGAGTATTTAGTCCACATCGAAAATTTTTCATCATTGCCTGAAAGCACATCCGCTACAAGGATTCTATCTCAGGCTTCAACGAAAACGCGAAAGGATGAAGCAGAAGGTAAAGGACCACAGGGCTCACCCGGCCGAGTTTTCGGGACGGCAGCTTTGAGACGATCCACACTCATGACCTCCTCACGATTATCATGTTGAATGCGGAACGTCTTCGTCCCGCGAGAGAGCACACCGAATAGGCCGTTAGAGGGCAGTTCCAGAGGCCGGCGGACTCGATCACATCTAAGGTAGACGTGAGAGCACGTTGTCAAGTCCTTCTCCAGATAAGACGGAGAGGCGGAGGACCTGGACGGAACCGGAGTAAGTGTCCGCATAAACTGCCAGAGGCGGTGCAAGATCGGTGCAGGTGCGGTGGGATCCTCAACTGCACCTCGCGGAGTTGGCGAGGTCATCTCACCGGGCAGTCGGATGGTGGCGCCGAACACGATTTCAGCAGCAGCACAGTCAAGGTCTGACTTGGGGGAGGAGCGAATGCCCAGCAGGACTAGGGGGAGGTGGTCTGTTCAGTTCTCCGGATCGTCTGAGGCGTAGGGAGGCCTTCAGCTGGCGGTGAAACCGCTCGACCATCCCGTTGGCTGCCGGATGATAGGTTGTAGTGCGGATGCGAGTACAGCCTAAAAAGTAGAGGAAAGACTGGAAGAGATTAGACTCAAACTGGGCACCGCGGTCAGTCGTGATTGTGGAGGGTGCACCAAAGATGGCTACCCAACGACTGAGAAAAGCCTTGAACACCGTTGGAGCAGCAATGTCAGGCAGGGGAATAGCTTCAGGCCACCGTGTGAACCGATCCACACAGGTGAGGAGATAGGAACAGCCACTGGACAGAGGTAGGGGACCTGCAATGTCCAGATGAACGTGGCTGAACCTTGCACCAGGGCCGGGGAGGGTGCCAATGGGGGCCGTACTGTGCCGCTGGACCTTACTCCGTTGACAGGCGATACAAGCCTGGGTCCATGCTTTGAGGTCCTTGTGCACCTCAGGCCAGACGAATCAGTCGAAAACCAGCTTGTCGGTAGCTCGACTCCCAGGGTGAGATAGATTGTGCAGGGAGGAGAAACCTTTGCGGCGGAGGGATGGTAGCACAAATGGACAATGGGAAGGGTTGATACGTCGCATAAAATGGCGCCGTTGCCAGTTGTCAGTGGTAGCTCCTGAAGTTGGAGTCCAGAAACATCCTCAACACAGGGTGAACCGACACGGCGTTGTTCATCGGCTATCTCAGCGAGGTCGACCCCGCGTGAAAGCTGGAGGTGAGCGATAGAGGGCCTGGACAGTGCGTCGACCACCTCATTCCGTGACCCGTCAATTTGGAGAATGCCTGAAGTGAACTGCGAAATGTGGTCCAGGTGGCGGATCTCCCGGGGGTTTAGTTTGTCAGAATGGGAACGCATAGCAACGGTGAGTGGCTTATGATCTGGGAAAATTGAGAACTCTCGACCTCCGAGTAAATGCCGGAAGTGCCTTACGGCTAGGTAAACGGCGAGAACTTCACGTCCGAACGTGCTGTCGCGAGTTTCGGCCTTGGGTAATTTCCTGGAGAAGAAAGCCAAAGGCACGGTAGAATCTAGCAGACTTTGTTTGAGAACCGCATCAACAGCAACATTGGAGGCATCGACCATCAGAGATATGGGTGCATCCTCATGAAAGTGATTCAGGAGGGTGACATCAGCCAGAAGGGCTTTTACCTGCTCAAATGACGTGACTGCTGCTGGTGTAAGTTCAAAGGTGCGCTTAGAACCTGCGAGGAGACTGGTCTGTTGTAGGATGGTGTCGGCGCATTTCGGGAGAGACCGGAGATAAAAGTTCATTATACCAAGGAACCGTTGCAACTGACGCTTTGAGGTAGGGGGTGGAAAGTCCCGAATGGCGGCAACCTTTGAGGGAAGAGGCCGAATACCGTTTGAGTCGATCAGATAACTTATGAACTCAAGAGAAGTGGCTCCTAGTACAAATTTAGCAGGATGCAGGGTGACACCAAACTGCTGAAATAGGTCGAAAAGCAGGGTGCGGTGTTGCAGATGTTCTTCGACATTCCGACTAGCAACGAGAACATCATCAATATTTGCATTAACAAATGGAAGACCACGTAAGACACGGTCAATGAAACGTTGGAAAGTCTGGGAGGTAGTTTGGAGACCAAATGGCATACAAAGGAACTCAAACAAGCCAAAAGGGGTCGTCACTGCCGTTTTTGGGAGTGGCCTCAGCCTCAATCAGAATTTGATGAAAAGCCTGGACCAAATCCATCTTCAAGAAAACGGTTTTGCAGCAGAGAGCTCTAGCAAAGTCCTGAAAGTGAGGAACCGGACACCGATCGGGCATAGTGATATTGTTCAGGGCTTTATAATCGCCGCAGTGACGCCAGTCATCCGTTTGTGGCTTAGGAACTATGTGCAAAGGAGATGCCCAGGGACCGTCAGACTGTCAAATAAGCCCTAGTTGCAGCATGTGGTCAAATTCAGTTTTAGCAGTCGCAAGACGCGTGGGAGCAAGACGACGGGGACGAGAGAAAACAGGAGGACCAGTCGTTTTTAGGTGATAAACTATGTCATGGGGGCAATGAGGAGTTGGGGCTTAGTGGAAGTAGGATATTTTGATAAACGTTCACGGAATGGACAGTCAGGGTTTGGGTCAAGGACGGAGAGCTGGTTGGAAGCTAAGGATGGAGGAAATCCCTTGACTGTGGGGGTAGCTGCGCGATCATGGAGGCGGAGTTGCCCGCAATCCACCAGAGGGTCAAAGGCGGCCAAAAAATCAGCACCAAGGATGGCGGTGGGAACATCAGTCACCAAAAACATCCTGAGGAATAATCGCCTGCGATCAATATCCAGAGAGAGGGATTGAGATCCAAAGGTTGCAATTGGGTATGAGTTTACGGATGGAAGTAAAAGATCATGGTTGTGGCACGGCAGTCGGCTGACGTGGGAGGAATAACGCTAATTTGAGCGCCAGTGTCGAATAAAAAACGTCTGCCACTCGTGTTATCACTGATATAAAAGGCGCGAGCCGTAGAGTTGCCAGAGAGCTCGGTCGCATTTACTCTCCGGCCGAGGAGTTTCCCTGCGTGGACTTAAAAGAGCAGGATCGGACACAGTGACGCGTCTTTTTTAGTGGGCACTATCTTACAACGACACTTCAATGCGGTCAAGCAATTTGCTGGTCGAATTCTAGATGACGCTGCCCATCCCTTAAATTCTGATCTTATGTCTGCGAAGTCTTCCCGCCCGATGCGCCGTAGCTTCCGATTTATATCCTCTCGCACATCGGCTTATCGAGCTTCTGTATTGCCATTCCTAGCGCGCTATCTTGCGTGCGAAGAGAAAGAAATACGGAAGCTAAGACTTGAACTATCCTCATAATAATCGTTTCTTTAAGTTAAACTTTGACTCTTGAATAATCTATTAACTTATTTACTGCCCATAGTGAATGAAGCCAATTTTTCGCTGAAAATTTTGAACTTACGATTTCAAAATAAAGCGACTTCCTCTCTCTCTCTCTCTCTCTCTCTCTCTCTCCCTCTCTCTCTCTCTCTCTCTCTTATTAACAAAGTTAACATGATACTAACATAGGTTTGAGGTCCTGGGGCGAGAGCAGGAACGACGACGTTCAAGGCCACAGGAACGTTGAGATGGACGAGCGGACCGGCGCAGTTGCAAGGCGGCAACAGTCGTAGACAACTGGGCGATATGTGTCTGTAGTTCAGCCAGGTCAGAGGTGGACACAGTGAGAGGCTGGGAAGCCTGAGTAATTGTCGTGGATGACAAACGCTCAACCTCCATCATACGATCGGTCATTTCTGCTAGCTTTGATATGTCTAAATCATCTGTGCCGGAGGCCAAGATTGTTTGCGCCGATGTCGGCGGACGTTCCAAGAACATCTCTTTGAAGAACTTATCATCAATGGTCATGTTTCTAACGAGAGAACGCATACAACGCAGGAGTCCCGAAGGCTCACGATCACCTAAGGCCTCTTCTTTTACGAGTGCGTGATAACGCTGCCGATCTAAGGCTGAGGTCAGGCGAAGGAGTTCATTCTTTAGCTTCGTGTAGGGAGTATCAGTCTGGGGATCTCGCAAAAATGTCTGCACTTGGGAAATACTGGTAGGAGGAAGGGCCTCGACCATCTTATAATATTTGTCTGTTTCTCATGTTATATTTGCAGACTGAAATGTCGCCTCAATAGAGAAAAAATAAAGCTCTGGCGCATGTTGCCAAAAGTCTGGGAGGGACGGACCAAATCCACTGAGAGAAGTAGTGGCATTGTCGGAATCCGTAGAGGGCATGGTTGTAGACATGATCAAGGAAAACGGACTATATACAAACAGCAACTTTACGTCAACCGATTAAAGGCGTAAGCGTGAACGTCAAAAGGGTCACCCCTGTTGAGGGCGCTAACGACACAACTGCCAATCCCAGACTACGGATATCAGGATAAGACAGGAGGTATGAAGGAATTAATAATCAAGGGTCAAACGACCTGACAATCTCACTGATGCCGAGCATGTGTTGTGTTTCTTCCATTCAGTTAAACAAACAGTAAGTTCAAGAATGATGAAGAGGTAGGTAAAAGCAAGATAGTGTGGCGCCTCGGCACACCCCCAGCTACTGTCCGAGCTGGTCAATTTTCTGGTGTGGGGAATGGGCGTAGTGGTTGTTTATCTAATGACCTCATCTGCACGCACCACACGCACGACAGCGCCCCCCAAACGCACGCACCAGGATTTCGCCCAATAGGAGGTTGGCGGTATGCGTCTCGCGTGGATGAGAGTGCCAGAGTTCACGTTAAGAAGGGCCCCTTGCAGCATGACTCGCAGTCCGCCAATCCACACAAACACACAAAACTGGGCAGACTGCGTGGGATTGAGTTGAGACGTCAGCCGGTAAGCTTCCAAGCCACGACACCTGGCGCACCGTGATAATCGCAGGTTCGGATCGCACATGCAGTAGAGGAGCCACATGGAGAAGGAGCCGAAAAGCACATTCCCACTTACGTGAGATTTGTTAATTGCGCGCTTGAGTTGTGTGGCGACGGATGGTGTTGGTGTGGTGCAGGTTCTGGTGGTGGAAGGTGTGGTATAACTGGTGGAGGTCTACAGCAGGTTTTCATGAATGCGCATGTGGCCTGGAAGGCCCATGCGGGACAATGAGGGCAGTTGAGACGATGGCGTCTGGTGTATGTCGGGGCTCCATGCACGGTTCACAAGTTTCACAGAGTCACTGGCTCCCCTTGCGCCTGTGGAGGTGGACGATGATCGTGTCTTTGAAGTCCTGAGGGACCTTTCCACAGCGCCACATATCCAGGAATTGCGCCGTGAGTTGACCCATTGGTCGCGGGTCCGTTCGCCTCCAGATCTTACATGCTTTGCCTGTTCAGCTGGAAACTCGCACTTAATTCTAACGACTCCCTAGGTATTCCGATGGTTGCAAATCCACTAATAATAACCCATACAACTACGGTCTTTTGGCCTTAACACCAACCCTTCGTGTTGACCCTAAGCGAACTGCGGACGATCGCAGAGTCCCTCTCTTTCACTGTATTGCTGATGATTAACAAATAGGTGTCAAGTCGCATCTACCGCGTTTCGGCGATGATCTTTTCAGCCTCTAATGTCCGTTCTGTTGATGCTCTCGGTGGGTTCCTCCTTCTCGCCTCTCTACTCTGACGAGAAATATTATGATCGCATTAATAGCTATTTGGTTGTGCAAGTAGCTTCTTCCGACTTACGAATCATCCCTTGACGAGGAGCGTTTCGAAACCCTTGTAAACCCTCATCAACAGAATGGTTCTCTCACACTGACATTTTCCTCCCATAAGCGACGGTTTTTTCTCCTTAAAAACTCACAAATCGCACTCGGTTTCTACCTTTACCGTAAAAATGCCAGAATTTTTTTACTGTTTCTTCATCTTCATCTCTTACTGCCTCCTCTTAATATTTGACAACGTCAATAAGCAGGCGTCCAATCCATCAGTCGTCATAATTGTAGACGCAAACATTCGCCATTCCGCCCCCTGCGACACGGCGAACAACAACCGAACCCCCTAACACCTCAAACGCCGGCGCATTGCCCCCTGACCTCATCTCGCATCAGTGACCACCCGCCCTCATTCCCACTGATCCGCATTCCCCCTTCGTTTTCTCCACCTCCAACACAGGGAGCGCTAACGGTTCTTCCTTCCCCCCCCCTGCCCCACAGCCTACCATAACTCGGTGCCCACTCCTCTCACGCATCAGCTGTCTGTTTGTCGTCGTCTGTCCTGTCGCGCCAGCCGACCTAGTCTGCCGATCTCCCTTTCTCCTCCGTTTATTTCGTCTGACGACGGGTCGGTGCCACCGACTTGAAAATTTACGAGTACAACTCGATTTTCCGAAGAACCTTCTCTTTTTCATCATATCAGCTCGGAATGCACACCACATCAGTTATTCAAGATAAACGTACGTTTGGATATTCATTTCGAGGTTTATTTGTAAGGATCTTACAAAATTTGTAGTGGCAATGTCCACCAAGTTGCCCAATAAGCAACAATAATTATCATATGATTTGACCCTTGCTCTTATCAACGCCTTTCCAAAACTACGTCCACAAAGATAGTCGTAGATATCGGGGCTATAGGGTTTGCTGTTGGAGAAATGCTAAACCAAAAGGCCCAGATGGGTCTGGACGTGCGGTAGAGTAGACTAGTGAATTCCTTGACAGAGCTCAACAGCAGCATGTCTCCGCGCGTCGTGAGATGCCAAAACAACATACGTTCATGAAATTCTGACATGTTCATCATGCCGAAAATGCCATTATTCGGACGGACCACCAGGCCACCAGTTGCTCCCACAAAAGTACAGGCCGTTAGAGTGAGGACCCAGTCAGTAAAAACCTTTGTCTCTGGACGGTGTGGTCTCTCATTCGCCCAGTCACGGGTACGATCTGTTCCCATCACCACACACAAAATTTGGCATCCACCAGGTCCTCATATATTAAGTCATCTGTGACAGCAATTGAGAGCGAACCAAAACTCTCGCCCCGGTGCGGCAACGGTTCTAGCAGCCCGACATACAGCGCAACGTTAAGCCTCTCTGTCAAACACACGACTAGATCAAAGACCCCATAGCATACTCCAGTGTTCAAACGGAGACTATCAACACTGGCATTTCCAACCAACTCGTGAGCCCGGACATGGTGGCCCAGTCACTAAATACGCAAGGACGACTGTGGGCAATTAATGTAAAAGATGCGAGACAGGTAACTGTTTCAAACATTCTATATTGTGGCCGCAGTCATCGGCCAAACTCGATAATCCGTCAGCAGTCTTTATACTATTTTTGCACTAACCAAGGAAATGCATTCAAAAGCCCCCACCCTCGAGGGCTGGGTGACACGGGAATCGGCGATAGAGACGAAAGTATAAGTTCCAGAAAGCAATTGGGAGGGAGACACGCTTGCTGGAACAGGTGCTGACTTCTCGGACATACAAAGAATCCATCACAAAAGACAAAATTAGATTAGAGCAATGTTTTGCACAGGTGCTGCAGTATCTATGGGATGCAGTTGCTATGCCATGGCACAACTATCGTAAGTGGCGGCTAGCGCATTCATCAAAGAGGACTACGCGTCATGCGATAATGGCCTGACTGCTCGCGGATTAGGTAACTGCCGACAGCTCATCACTATCTGGGTTCTTGGGCCATTTGGCTCACCAACGCTTGCACAGGAAACAGTGGTCGCCGGCGCGTGGTTGAGCCCTGGTCCCAGTGTCGGTGACTCAAATGCTCGGGTAATAATCACATTACTAAACAGCATGAGTGGTGAAAATACGGCCATTAAAGGCCTGAGTACGGGTAATTAGGCGATTATCGCAAAAAGGTCGGTCATCGACGACGAATGTGGAGGTTACTAACCTGACTGATAAGGTTCAGTCAAGTGAAACTCTTATAACTGGAGAGCTCACTGAACGCGGCTCAATGGACGAAAGCGGGGCGATAACGCGGGCAGACGCGTCACAACTCGGCTCGGACAAAAACGCAGCCTTGTGACAGCAATCACTACTCAGATGAGGGCTGTTACGAAGTGCAAACGGAACTGACGGTAAAGGGGAGATGCGAACGATGATCTTCAATGCCGGTCGCTGACAAGATGCATAAAGATTTACGACAACCCCCGTCCTCAGTTCAGGCAACAGCGACTGTTACCAAGGCCACACTATCGAGGCCACCCGTAAAAATACAATGAGGTGTGGTGCAACACTAGCTCCTGCCTACAAAAGCTTGTTTCCTTTTGAAACACCCGGACAACACAATAAGGATTGGCGAGATCGCCTTCCCTTCTCGTACTCATCCGAAATTTAGGAATTTTTCAGGGGTGCTCACCATCGGGAAAACATTAATGTACGGATCAATGAATATTTAGCTCACCTCCACCTGGATTGATCAACTACGCCATTCATTTGTCCGTGTACCACTAATGAGCGATTGAATATCGGCTATCATCAGTCGGATGTAACACTCCCCGCAGCAGCTGCGAAATCTGGTCACCTGACTGACCCCAAATTCATACGAGGTCGGAGGCGGAATGCGGCCCTGACGAGGGCGAGTGAATGGAAACTAAAGAAAGCATGTCTTTCGGCTTTACAACCAGTTCATGCCCCTGCATCTGGTCTCAGTGACATAAGGAGCTTGGCCACAGGTGTATTGATCCGATAAATGAAGTCACATTTTTGACCAGATGTTACTGGGCCTTGGGATGCACGTGCTGCTGACCGGTCATATGAGCGACCCAGACCTAAAGTTCTTCAATCAAACTACCCAATCGTTCGGACACAGTAAGAGCATAAGGGGCCGTATGTTAGCACGTTCAGTTGTGGCTCCGACAGCAAGTTCCTCTCATTCGCTCTTCACCTGCTTCTCGACAAGACTACTGGGACATTTGTTAATTGCGAAGAGATTTCGGAGAAACTAGGTTTCGTCCACTTCGTCGCCTGGATAGCTGCAATACGTCTATACGGCGGTAGTGTTTTTACACAGTTGTATTAGTCCAAAATGGGGTGTGTGTGCTGTGGAAACGTTGTATGAGGGAGACACTCATCGCCTTCCTGTTGACTGTTACATTGAGTTACCTGCCGCTTCTTACACGGACTACCACGTCCAGGCACGGCAACTGAGTCATCTTCCCCCATCATGAACTGGATTTCAGGTGAAGTTGAGTTAAGATATTAGACGCATTATCAAATTGTGTTCAGACTGATGGTGGTAAAAGTCCGAAACATGCCACTTACGCACGGAGGACGAAATCACAGCGATTAACGACTCGGACGAGGACCGACAAGCCACCATCGCATCAATTACGATCACAGCGGTGATTGCGAGAGCTGTTAATTACAGCGCGCATATGGTCCCACGGCAGCCACATGCTATAAATACTGCACTCCTTGTGCCACCATTACCCTTATCTGCGACTGTCTCTGATGATGGATTCGAAAGAGAATCTGAAACGTCAGGCCAATAGATTTCTTATTCCAGTGATCACATCTTCGTCTTCAGAGCAACCACAGTTATCAAGACCAACTTATTGCAAAAAAACACGGCATAGCACCCAAACAAACCGTAGAAAGCAAAACAGATCAAAAGACTGCTTATCAGATTGCCTTCGCATGGTGGCGCAACAGGCAAATTAGTAGAAGTATCTGAATCAGGCCGCCTCCCGAATGCCTACAGCCATCAAGGTACAAAGATGGCCCACTAATAACCTTGTTGTACTCATTCTGAGCATAGAAAGGCCGTCATCTTAAACCAATCCTATGTGCAACATCCTGTGGAGCAACGTATGTTGACCAAACGCGCAGGCGCCAGAGGGAACAGACGAAAGAACGTGTATGTTAGGAAAGGACGGGATGACGGTGTGCAGGTCTGCTCTCGTGCGTCTACCCAGGTAGCTACCGAGATCAAAAGAATTTTCGAGATACCAACCCTGACACGGCATTGATTATGCCGCTCATGTAATCTGACCGTTAACTGGTTGCCGTTCTTTGGTCGGGTTGCGACATCGCGAGCACGCCTACACGCCGTCCTCACGCGACGACGGCGTGTAACACGTGACGTGACTGCACTTCTTCCCTATCGCTGTTATTGATTTATATCTACTTATTGCTGTTACCCCATTGTTAATTGTTTATACAAGAATCGGAGAGGATACAAAAACGCCGAATTAAGAGGTATGGGGAGGAAGATTTCCGCAAAGTTGAGGAGGCTGTTTAAAAAAGACGCGGGCCCGAAGACGCCTCGATTAGTTTGTTAGATAGCTGCACTTTGTTCTCTGGATCTAGGGAGGGTGAGGGCCAGATATTTTCCTCGGTGAATGCAGTCGTAATCATTCAGGAGGCCTGGACGCAGAAACCAATAAGGCCGTTAATACCGAACTGGGTCAGGTACATATTCGGAAGTTGCGCGAGTGGGCCTCGCGATGCAGTGTAGCGCACACCAACCTGTGAGCCCTTTTGAATATCTTTAGGCCGGTCGTGCCATAACTGTCCGCCGATTTGACAGCTTTACCTACAATATTAGGCTTGAGCCATCCAACAAACGTTCCAGACAGTCTATCAGCGGGTCAGCGCATGTGTGCGACGGTGGCAATCGGGTCAAGAAATCAAATTCGCGTACAAAACAAGTCTGTGCGGCAGCCATGGTCAAATTCCAGCAGCAGGACAACAGAAAGTAGATAGGTGGAGGTTGGGCACTCAAAGCCACTACCAGGCGCAATGCCTATTTATGCATCTTATTTACGTCCTCAAAGATGCAAGAGCCTGCGTAACTGCCGTCCCTCCTGCCCTTATATTCTGCTGCACTCTATACGACCTCGGGCAACCTGATTAACCGTCATCACTTTATTCTCCAATTCACCCTCTTAGAAGCACCCAGTATGTCATTATAATGTTCTGACAAAAACTTAATGAAAACGTGCGGATACCTGCAAACAGATGTCCTGAATTATTCAACAGAAATTTCCACGAAACAGGTGAACTTCTCTACGATGTTGGGACGAACTTATGGTACCTCATATCTGTTGGTGCTGGTTGGTGAGAGAAAGCCATCCTATCCGCATCGATGTCGGGCTTGGATACGGCGTATCCACAGATGAAGCGGTCCAGGCACCCCCTTATGTATAACAGCCTTAGTTATGGTTTAACCTGGAATCTTTTACGGCGAGGTTGTTTGTTTTGACCTTGGAGATTCCTATGACACGAAACAACCCACAGGCGGATTGGTAAAGGACGTTGATTTCTGTTCGTCCTTCACAACAGGGGTCTATCTGCATTGAAGGGTTGCGGCAAATACACAACCCTGTCTCACCCCAGTTGCCCTCGCAACGACATTTAAGGTCGCCTCGTTTCCTGTGACGAGCGCCATGCCGCGGTGAAGCTTCCTGACCAGTAAATTAATTTTCTGGAGCGCTCAAAGTTCCTAGCATTCTATTAGTCCGTAATGGTTCACGGTGTCAAGGGCCTTTGGACTAGTCTTAACTTTCAGACAGTTTTCCTGAAGGCGCCACACTGCAGAGATCGTATCCATTGCTCTACAATGTTTCCGAAATCCACATGGAGTCCTTGGAGGAGGTGTTTCATCCAGGTGCGCAATCAGACAAACAACACAGAAAAGGAGGGCTGCGACAATTCTTGCTGGTTGATGGTGGTATTCTTGATGTCCTGTGCAAATTGTCCTTATTCCCAGATCCCCTGGAACATTGAAGTCAATTTGTCCGGGGATTGAAGACCACCATATTTTGATATGCCGACCAGGATCAAATTGACATTTGACGTAACCACTGGATACGTGCCGTGTTGCCTCGATTATCTGTAGGGAGGGTCGGTGACCAACCTCGTCATCAAATCCCATTAAAGTCTTCTTCATAGACTAAATATCAGTACTTAAGATGGTCCAGGAGCGATCAGTTCCATGCTTCAGAATCTTCAATCTCTCTGACATAAAGATGGACAGGTCTGAACTGAGCAGCAGCGCCGCTACGGCCTGTTGTGAGCCCTAAATCGGCTTTATAACCGCGAACAAGTTATTCGTTGGACTTCTATTGCCTTACGTGTCAGTCTGTGTTTCTGCAACTGCGCACTTTCTGCTGCAGCCGGTGCCGGCATCGAAAGAGCGTAGCCCTGTTGGCGGTAGGAGTATGCTGGTTGCAGAAGTTTAATGTCCGGTTTTCAAAACATTTAATCAGAGCTCTTTACTCGATTTAGGATGCTGGGGCGTATAGTGCTGGCTTCTCGGTGATAGAATAATACAGCTTCTACTGCGTAAAATTTTCGGATAAGTTTGAAGCACCTCCTTCTGCATTCTTAACGGCGAACAACCAAAAGAAGAACTTAATCTACTAACCGGGCTTCGGGAATCCCATTACATGGAACAATTAAGTAAAACGCCGGTTAACTGATTAGCATAGACGTACAGGAGTGGGGTGTGGGGGGTGAAATTTCAAGAAGGATCACATGGGAGTTGCCAATTACATTTTTATAGTCAAAGTGTAAACATCAGGAAGAAAGTCACAACGGAGAAATAGTTCCAAACAAAACTCGGAATTCCAGAACATGTCCTTAAGCGTCATGAGGGTCTCCGAAGGGAAATGCCATTTTTAAAGGCTCAATGCATTCGTCAAACTGTTGTTCCGTCATGTAGCCCTTTTCTAAAACGGCCTGGCGTAAACTGAGGCCTTGATCATGGGCAAAGAGGGCGACCTCGGCGGATTTATCGTAACCAAGCACAGGGGTAAGAGCAGTAACAAGCATGAGTGAATTACTGACATGTTCGCTAATTCGAGCATGATTCATGCGAAGACCGATAATGGCATGGTCAGTAAAACAGCGTGAAGCATCACTCAGCAGGCTTATTGAGTGCAACATATTGGCGATCAACAGCGGTTTGTAGACGTTAAGCTCCAGATGACCTTGTGACCCGGCGATGCTTGTGGTTACATGGTTCCCCATCACCTGAACGCAAACCATGCTCAGAGCCTCGCACTGAGTTGGGTTGATTTTGCCTGCATTCGGAATACAAAGAAGCATTTGCTGAGTACATAGCGTGGTCAGGTTGGCAAATGTATAAATGGCTGATAAGTAAACGAGCAACCAACCTGGCATTATACTAGAGCCTGGTTCGTTTGAAGGCAGGATAAATTCACCTAGACCGCATCGCGGACCCGAGGCCAGCAGACGGAAATCGTTGGCCAGACGATGGAGGGCAGTTGCTGTTGTATTAAGACAACCACTCATCAAAAGCAGGGAGTCATGGCCGGCCAGAGCCGCGAATTTGTTGCGTGCAGGCTTAAAGACTATAGGCTGCGTATCGCTACAGCTGTCTTTGGACCGATTCTGGCAAGAAATTAATAACACATAATTCCGATAGACCAAAGTAAGGTAAGGACCTCTAAGTACCGAATGCAGACTGCTGAAATGTTGACAGCGAAACCGTTTAGAGGCCAAAAAGCATTCGAGGAAATAAACGAGGGAAATTTGTGGACAAGATCTGTTTTATGGCATTAAAGACTGGTAAATTTACTTCTACGGTTTCAGACTACCTTCGAGTTGAGGTCGCCTTAGACAAAACTCTCAACAGTCAGCGTCGTGGCACTAATTTTGAGTTTTCTGCGTCAAACTTTGGAGAATCTAAAGAAACTCGACAACAATGTTGGCAGTAGTTGAACCCAGTCATTAATCTTGTCTCAAAAAGGGTTGCTCTCTCACCAGCTTCTCCCTAAAAATGATACGCTGGCTAGTTTTACAATGCCCCCTTCCAATTTACACGTAATATTTGTCTTTCCAGTATTCCTGTTTGTTGTGACCGATGGGACGGGGCCTTCAGTTGTAGAGATTCAAATGTCGGCACGTTCCGACAATGCTAAAGAAGTTACCGGGACCAGGTGAAATCATTAATGAATAAGGAGCAAGTTCATGGTTAGCAAACCACGTGCTCGGGCGAAAAGCACGATGGTAATCTTTTTCCTAGAGCAAAAAGATGACTTACCGGCAGATTCTGAGATACCATTTCGGTAAGAACTTCACAGAATCGAGAGTCAAAGTTGGCCGCAGCATTTAGACCAGTGCCAATAGCAGTTCCGCCAACCGCAAGCTCACAGACGAAAGGAAGTTGACGTTTAATGCTTTCAAGGCATTGCCTGAGCTGGTCGCAGTAGCCACTCAATTCTTGACCAACTGTCATTGGAACGGCGTCCTGCGCCAACAGGTTTTTAAAATAAGTTATTATGGCAAGACTTAATGTGTGCTGTAGCTGTGTTGTTGGAGAGTAGGAATCGGCACACTTCTAATATACTTCACTGCCCATGTTCAATTTAGATATTAAGCAATAATTATTAAAAAGTGTCTTGTGCCAGCGCATCAGTTAGCAAAAACAGACTCTAAAACGCCCTTTGGCAATTTCTGAATCGGGTTATCTCCCTCACAATTTTAAACACTGCAAACTTCAAGATATTGTCTAGGCTAATCGGCGTGACCAGACACCAATTAATCCTAGGTATACACTTGTCTATACATGCAAGATCTTTCAGACGAGGGAAACTCAGGATTCTAGTGTATGCTACATAGTAGAATGAAAACAAATGCTCAAACTAGAAATCCGAAATTAGTATTAAAAAATGACGAGGCCAGTGTTACATTTGCGCCTTATTCAACTACAGCACTTTAGAATTCTTGCCTTCGAGAGGTAAACACCAAATATTACAGACGAACACGCATGGGAATAATAAAAACAAGTGCAGCCTGACCTGTAAATGAGTTCTGCCAATTTTTACTAGCGTCCGAAATTCCCGACTTTTGTCGTGTAGTTTGTCCAAAAGGTATTGCAAGGAGGGGATAAGTTTTTGTACAACTTCAATGACAATGCTTACATTCATCGCGGTTGGAAATATGTCATTGGAGCTCTAAAAGGAGGCAACATGATTTCCAAGCAAATGCTAACCTGACTGAGATTAACGTCGTCGTTCGGGTGTACGAGGGTCTTGTCACCCCTCTGTCCACCGAGAATCTCATTGGCGCGGTTAGCGATCACCTCATTGACGTTCATGTTTGTCTGAGTGCCGGACCCGGTTTGCCAGATAACGAGTGGGAAATGTCTGTCCAGGCTGCCTGACTGAACCTCCTCAGCAGCTGATATTATGGCCTTGGCTTTATCGGTGGTCAGCTTGCCCCCCTCGAGATTTATGACTGCCGCGACTTGTTTGAGGAGAGCAAGGGCATGCAGCAGTGTGATCTTCATTTATTTCCGAAATAATTAAAATTACTAGATTTATTGGCTACCGGCATAAGGTCCTTCCCAGTGGCAATCTGGAAATTCTGCAGAGAACGCTGTGTTTGCGCTCCATAATAGGCATTAGTCGGCACGTTTATGAACCCCAGGGAGTCTTTCTCCTGTCGAAAGCCATCATTAGCGAAAGTCAAAATTCCTCGAAATTTGTTTGTGTTGGTGGACATCTGACAGGGGTTAGGGGCTTTGGTGTAAAACAATGAGCCAGAGAAAATAACGGTAATAGCACGAAGAAAAAATTTAATTCCTAAACAGCCATAAAGATGGCATAAATGCACATTTGTACTCGAAGGAAGGCAACAGAAAGACTACACACATTTTCGACATGCAAAATTGCAATTGTTGACGCTTGCGTGAAAGGCGCCAGCACAAACATAAGAGAGTCGGCTGTGCAGCCGCGATTGCGCGTACTTACATACCGAAAGACGCTCATTTCTGCCATCTTGACCTGACCTCATATAGATCGATACTCAACTCCTGGAGTTTAGAGCCTGAGAACTGAAATGACTGCCCCTGCGTGATTAAGCGACTAAGCGGTTCTTGGCATAAATAAATTTTGCGGCCTTACAGAAGACAGCGGAAGTCTAACAGGGGTCTCAAACGTCTATCCTAGAATTCGAACATTCTGTACAGGTGCTTTATTTAGATAAGTACACTAGAGGAAAGTCCTTTCAGCATACTGGAAACCTCGCTGTCAGCTGTATATCTTTTCTTAACCACAAGCCTCTTGGTGAGACTGACCGAAAAATAGACAAATACGTTGGCTAAGTGGAAATAAGGATAAAGACCTCACCTACGCGAAAATTCTATTTATAATAGTTAACTGTCTTCTATGTTGATTCAATAGATTTGAATAGACCAGGACTTTCCTAATGACTAATTTAGTTTAAATCTTTGGTGGGAATTCTTGAGCACTGTTTAGGAATGAGGCATCAAATCGACTGACGTTTCCGGCCTTCATACCAAAACGTTTACATAAAAATACATAAGTCAGACAGTAGAGCCCAGGTATAAATGCTTATTACACCAAGATGTTTATATGCATAAAATGGCTTTAAGCGTGCTCCTAACCTGACGTATAAGCCAGTCCAATTTTTCTTGATGTAAGAAGACGATTAATTCGAAACATGGGTAGTAGTTATGTCTTTAGGTCGGCAGTTCGCCAAAGAACCACGTTTCTAAAAGGGAAAAGTTGCCACGAAATTAAGCGTTTGGGGGCGTAATTTTGAAGGAAAGTGAGGCTTGCCAAAGTTGTACGATGTATATAGTACGAGGATATATTCCACCCTAGTAGCAATATACATCGAGTCCATATAAGGATAATAGCTATTTATCGAGATGATAGATCTGACTTAGGGGATAGTGTTTTCTTCTGCAATGCTCATTATTTCAGCGTAAAAACTCGAACGATCCGGTACGAATTAACAAGCATTCAAGGTTCAAATTGTCCGGAATGGTTATGTGGATTTATTCAAGAGAAGTGAAAAAGAATATTATGTAAAAAATTATGCGGAAGGCGAAGCTTCTTTGGAAAAACCTGTCGCGTGAGTGTTGTCCACGTGACCGACAGAGTTAGTCAACCGGAACTACGCGATGCCTGTAAAGGATACGCTGAAATCAACGGCCACGAAAACAAGAAATGAGACGACCTCGGCGCGCGAACACCGACACGACTTATGAAGTTGCCGCCACGCACTACATCTACTAATCATCTTCTGGAGGTTGATTGGTTTAAACGTTCAGGGATATGGCAATTCGTTCATTTACTAGGCACAGAGGCGCATTGTAAATGCTAACTTATAGAAAATATAACAGTCTTTTTTATTTTAAATGCCAAGAAAGTATCCAGTTTGACCACAATCTCGTGCATCGTACCTTTGACGAACGAGAACCTACAAATTAGGAATTAATCAGGTTCTGGGAAGCTCCTGACATCGTCGTTCCCTCCCATAAGTTTTCTTACACATTTCAACAGTAACTGGACTTTTTTGGTCCCTATCAGCGACATTCGTTTCCCGTACTTCATACACGGGTTTTGTTCCGGATGTTCAAGTTATCGATTATCCTGTTGAATCTTCTAACTTAGGTATGGCCATCAGGTACTGGTTCGCAAATTAAATGCAACCGTTCGCAAAGATTGACACTGTTTGAAGATATCTTCAACCTGGTGGAATAAACTTGAAACCTAATCCTCTCCCCGCCCGCCTCTTCCTCGTCCTCTCCGCCGCCTAATAAATCTGACAATTCTTCTGACCCACAACTTCCATCCTCCTCCTCCTACTCCTCCTCCTACCCAACAGCGGCCGATCAGGCGACCGTCTCGCACATAACCAAACGCGACACAACAACAGACACAACCCCCAACTTTCCCGACTCCAGGGATGAGGATCAGGACTACACCTGCCCTCACTGCTACCGCACATTCACCTCACGCATCGGCCTTGTCGGTCACTTGCGAATCCATCGCACAGAGACTAGCGAGCAAGTGCCTGGAGCACCAACCTACACCCACCGCACACGCCTCCACTGCACACACTGCCCTAGCACCTTCACGCATCGCATGGGCCTATACGGCCACATGCGCATCCACGAGAGCGGAATTGACCGCAGCCTTGACACACCCACCCCGCCGAGCCTCACTCCCAATCAATCACCTTGCGCACCCACTAACCACTCCCCAGCCGACATCGACGCCACCGACCTTACCACCCCTCACTCCTCCCCTTCCTCCTCCTCTTCCTCCATCACTGCCACAACGACGGCCGCTTCGGCGTCTGTCGCCCACGACTTCACCACAGCCGAACCTGACACAACAACAGGCACAACCCCTGCAACCTTCATCATCAGACGTGAGGACCAGGGCTACATCTGCCCTCACTGCGATCGCACCTTCACTTCACGCATCGGCCTGTTCGGTCACTTGCGAATCCATCGCACAGAGACCGGCGAAACAGTGCCTGGAGCACCAACCTACACCCACCGCACACACCTCCACTGCCCACACTGCCCTCGCACCTTCAGGCATCGCATGGGTCTATTCGGCCACATGCGCATCCACGAGAGCGGAATTGACCACAATTCTGATACAGCCACGACATCCAACATATCCACCACGCCCAGACCCACCCTCGCTCCACCGTCACACGCGCCGACCACCACCACCACCACCACCACCACCAACACTGCTTCCCCTACAGACGACACCGACACCGCCGACCTCTCATGCCCACATTGTCCACGCACCTTCACCTCACGCATCGGCCTGGTCGGTCACTTGCGAATCCATCGCACAGAGACTGGCGAACCAGTGCCTGGAGCACCAACCTACACCCACCGCACTCGCCTCCACTGCCCACACTGCCCTCGCACCTTCACGCATCGCATGGGTCTATTCGGCCACATGCGCATCCACGAGAGCGGAATTGACCACAATTCCGATACAGCCACGACATCCAACACATGCACCACGCCCAGACCAATCCTCGCTCCACCGTCACACGCGTCGACCATTACCACCGCCACCAACACCACCGCTTCCTCTACAGCTGGCACCGACACCGCCAACTTCTCATGCCCGCATTGTCCACGCACCTTCACCTCACGCATCGGCCTGGTCGGTCACTTGCGAATCCATCGCACAGAGACTGGCGAACCAGTGCCTGGAGCACCAACCTACACCCACCGCTTTCGCCTCCACTGCCCACACTGCCCTCGGACCTGCACGCATCGCATGGGTCTATTCGGCCACATGCGCATCCACGACGACCTGCGGTAGACAACCGCCGGTCACACCACACATTCCCTCACTCCCTACCTCCTAACACCACCACCCCACCAGACATCAACCCTCACACACCTCATGAACTCAACTACCGCCTCCCACGCAAGTGGGAAGTGTGCATCTCGACTCGATCCCCATGCGGCTTCGGCTGCACGGGTGACTGTGACCGAGACTATCCCGACACGTCAGGTGTCGTGGATAGGAAGGTTGCTGATTGAGGCCCGTTCTCGGTTCACGCAGTTCGTCACGTTGTGTGGGTGTTGTGTGTAGTGGCGGACTGGTGGGCTGGGGACGGGCTGAAGCAGCACCTTCCACGGCACTCTCACGTAAGTGAGAGACACGCCGTTGAACCCTCGTTGTGTGAAATCCTGGCGTTTGTGTGTATGGGCGCCAGGTCGTGCTGTGGCGCGCGCAGGCATGGTCAGTCGACCATGTCAGCCACCGCGCCCATTCCCCACTCCAGTCTGCTGACCGGCTCGGACAGTGGCTGGGGTGTGGGAATGGGAAGGGAGAGTGAGGTCGACGACTCAGCGCATTTTCCTCACTATAAACAATCTGACGCGCTTGAAGCTATCACGGTGCGCTAAAAGCCGTGGCTTGGAAGGTTGCCAACTGACGGGGTACCTTGGACCTCCTCCTCACTGGAGGCGGTCTGAGAGTCAGGCTGCAATGGCTCCTTTTTAATGTGGCCTTTATGGCATTCCCACCACAGCGTGGGATCCGAGCCAGGCGTTGGCGGCACGCCCAGCTGCGGCTTCGGCCGTGCCAGCCTCCAAATCTCTGTTGTGTTGGTTGAAATCCTGGTTATTGTTGTGTGGACCAGGGGGTGTGGTGGAACGCCAAGGTGAGGATCCGTCCGAGCCATCCACCTGCGGCCTCCCTCGTCTCCGGTCTTCTTGACTCTGTCTTGACACCGGGCCCAGGCGGGGGAGGAGGAGAGAGTGTAGGTAGATGCTACGCAAGTCTACTGGCAC